GTCTCACCAAGTTGCCAGGCGAGTCTCGAACCCGCGGGCTCAGGCAATCCACTCACCTCAGCCTCCCAAAGCGCGGGATTACAGGTTGAGCCACCGAGCCCAGCTTAAGCAGGTATTTTATACTCAGACTTAAATAGGTTTCATCACATGAAGAGATGAAGAAGAAATCACATGCAAAATGGTATATTTTGGTAATAACCCCAGGGTGCTATGTCCTTTGCAAATAATAGGATCTTGTAAGTAATTTATATTTATCTATTACAGAAAATGCGTCAGAAACATGGATTGGGTTGAGCAGCGATAAAATTCCAGTTTCCTTTGAATGGTCTAATGGCTCTTCAGTCATCTTTACTAATTGGCATATACTTGAGCCCCAAATTTTTCCAAATAGAAGCCAGCTATGTGTCTCAGCAGAGCAGTCTGTAAGTTGATTCATATGTTCAAAGCTTATTTTGCTGGACTTGCACTGAGGGTCACCTGTGCCAGGAACTTGGGCTGCAGCAGAGACCAAGAAAGGCATGGGCTCTATTCTTCATGGGTTTCCATGCTAGGCAGGAAACAAGTACACATGGGAAAAAGATGGAAATTATAGTTGTAATGATTGCTCCCAGGAAACGGGTGATATGATGGTGAGAAGCTTGGGTTGGGACAGTTACTTCAGACAGGACAGTCACAGGAAGCCTCTCTGAAGAGGTGACATTGAAGCTGAGACAAACCAAAAAATCTCACAAAGCGGGAAGAAGAATATTCCAAACAAAACAAGCAAAGGGCAGCAGTGCAAAGGCCCAAAGACAGATCAAGCCTTGCCGTGTTGAACGATTAAAAAGAAGAGTGGTAAGGACACAGGGCAGGAGGAAGGCAACAATGCCAAGCTTCAAGGCCATGGTGTAGGAATATTTAAAGTGCTTCAAGGAGACAAAAAACATGGCTGGATTGACATTTTCTAAAGTAACTGTGGCTGCTACATAGAGACTGGATAGAAAAGGAATAAAATGGAAGCAGAAAAACCAGTGTGAAGACTACTCTAAGGTTGAATTAGGGTAGTGACTATGAAGAGAAGTGGTCAGATTCATGGATGGTTTGAAGAACAGGACTTGTTAAATTAGATGCGGGGTGAGAGAGAGGTAGGGTTTCAGCTTGAGCAACCACCATTTTGGTGGATGGTGGTGCCATCTGCCACCGTGGTGAAGCTGAGGGGAAGAGCTGGGGTGGAAGATTGCTCTGGAGAGCAATGATTTTTAAGCTCCATTATCTTATTAACATAACAGGATTTAAACAGTATGTGTAACCTCTTTGAAAATGATGAATCAGTGGCAAATCTTGCTCTTTTACTCACTTGAATGGAAAGGTCCCAGTGGCTTGAACATCATACTTATCCATATGTTCTATTCTCTCATTTATCTAAAGCACCTGCTTATAAAGAATTAGTTTAATCCCAAGCCATTTGAACAGTTTATTATATCTAAAATAGACTTAATCTCTTTGATCAGATAGCTACTGAATGTACTGGCTGAGTTTTTAGGAGGTTATTGAGACTTGGTAGTTCTCTTCATTCTTTCTAATCACCAAGATACCATGTCAGGTTCCTCCAAGAAGCAGATTATTAAATGTAACTGTAGTAGCTTGACAAAGTAATTGTGCCAACCAAACGGGAAATTTCTAAGCACTTACTTTTGTGACACATTTCATTGTTTCATCTTCTAAGACTGGCAGGGACAAGAGCAGTTACAATTATACAGGCTGAGGTGGTGTCTCTGAGTCACATTTGAAGAGGAAGAAACAATGACCTCTCTAAATGTTTGTCTCAGGTATGGCTCTGCTGAAATCCACCACAGTTTATTCTGTAGTATCTGCTGCTTTGTTAGTTCATTGGTTTTGATATAATTAAGATGACCTTCGTTTCCTATTGACAGACATGGGCATTTCACTTAACACGTTTACAGAATAGAAGTCAACATTTGGACAGGGATTATTTTTAAGAGAGTAGGGATATATATTAATTTGATTGGATGTGTCAGGATGATGCTGCCATAAGTGTGATATTTTGTGGCACCTTTTTTTGGCAGCCCAGTAACTTTTTAGATATATTTTTTAAAATAGCATTTATTTCTATAAAGTAGAACTCAATAATTATAATATAATTATTATAATTAAAAAGTTACCCGATCATGGTTGACATAAAAATTTGAATGTGAGAGCCTAGGAAACTATGTATTTATTCATCCATTCATCCAGCAGTTATTAAGCAACTACAGTATGCCTGACACGAACCTGTAACTGGATGGTTTTTTGGAAAACTCTGGGAGAGTGATGCAGGGCTCCTTTTACAGACATTATCAGCCCCAGGCATAGTATTTTTCTGAGGGTCATGGAAGGGCGTCACATTCTCCAAAAATTCTGGATGCCTGGAACTTGAATTGTGTATTTTTTAGCCTAAGATTCTGATTTGTGTTCTAAAAAATCTTCAAGTAGGATGCAATTTTAATATTAGCAGTTATATCATTATTATAGAAGGATCTGAAAGTAGCCTTCGATAGAATTAGGACAAGACATGAAGACATCACTTAAAGAGGAAATGAGGGAGTACTGTGAAGAATTAGTGATCAAGGGATCGTTGGGAGTTGAATATGAATTTCGACTATGAGAATGTTTTCTAGGATGATTCATGGTAGCTTCCTGGCATTTCCTGAGTGTCAGATGTTTACATAAAAGCAGCAAAGCGTTCAATTTAACACATAGAAGTGGCAAAAAGAGGAAGCCACACACTTACCTGGTCGGGGGATGGCCTCAACCAAATTCTCAGGGTGTGGCCTCCAGATCAGTAGCCTTAATATCACCTGAAATGATGTTAGAAATGTAAATTCTCATGGTCTCACCAGATCTACAGAATGAGACACTGTGATAATGGGGCCCAGTTATCGGTGTTTCAGTATCCCCTCCAGGTACTTCCGGTGCACACCAAAGATTGAGAACCACTGTTCTATCCCATCTTTTAAAAGAAAAATGGAGAAGAGCTTACTGACTATAGGACCTTGTGCAAAAGAGTAAACCTAACCTTTAAATGGGAATAGTAGCTCCCACCTCACGGGAATGTTGAGATACTATATGAAAATCACTCTACATTAAGCTTTAATGGCACATAACAGTAGCTAAGAAACACCAGTTGGTTACTCTCTTCCTTCTACCCACCCAGTCTGGGATTGCAAATCTTGAAATGGTTACATGCTGGAGAGAGAGGGCCCTCCCCGCCATCGAGAGTGTATCGACCCGTTCCATGACAACCGGGGTCCTGCCTGAGACATCATCCCATGCAGGAACATGTTATCCATCATATTGTTATTCATATTGTTATTCATCGTATTGCTATTCAATGGGTATTGCCCATTAACATGAGCACAGTGTATTCATCCATCTTGTAATATTTTTCTTTTTAGGAGGGACACTGGCAAGTTCAAAATTGTGAAGAAACACTTTTTTATGTTTGTAAAAAAGCAGGCCATGTCCTTTCTGACACTGAATCAGGATGCCAAGCGGTAAGTGCTGTTAATATTGCAGTTTAGGTACAGGGACTTTATAACTAGAAAAATATATCTGTCATCAATTTAGAATAAATCATTCTTTCTCCCCCTTTCTTCTTTTCATCTTCCTTAAAAAAAATTTTTTTTTAGTCCTGAGAACCACTGACTTGCTATCTTCTTCAACTGAAGACCACTTTTCTTTTGAAATAAAAAATGGAAATTGTCCTGATATACGTCTGTACAATGAGTGTCCTGTGGTGCCCTGTCTCATACCCAGTTTTCCTGATTTTCAAGTGAAATGCCAGAAAATGACTACATTCCTTTGAGTCCAAGTGAACATCTACCCCCAGGGTCTTGCCTAGCTTCTCACCTTTCTTAGACTTCAGTATTTGAGTAGAATACAATAATGGAGAGAGGAACATGTTTGCAATATATTTATTATTTGGAAAGGATAATAAAAATACTTTAGTATTTTAAATAGCAAAGTATTTTAGATACTTTAAGTAATAAAAATATTTAATACTTTAAGCTTAAAATTCAAAGGTCGAAAATTATCTGTTTAAAATGTCTTGAAATACACTTAAAATCTCACACTAAAGTTACATAAAATCAGCCTATCAATATCCTTAGCACATAAGTTTATGTTTTCTCCCTCTTTCTGTCTCTCTCTCTCCCTCTCTCTCGCTTACTCTTTTTCTTTCTCTTTCTTTCGCTCATTGGAAATTTTTATGCTGTGTGAGTCTCAAAAATTTTCCAGACCTGGTTTTTATACTTGTTTTTGTTTCTGTCGGGGTCTCACTCCGTTGCCAGGCTGGAGTGCACAAGTGGCCGGAACTACAGGCACGTGCTACCGCCTGGCTAATTTTTGATTTATTGTAGAGATGAGGTCTCACCAAGTTGTCCGAGCTGTTCTCGAACCTGTGGGCTCAGGCAATTCTCTCACCTCAGCCTCCCAAAGTGCTGGTATTACAGGCTGAGCCACCAAGCCTGGTCCAGTTTTTATACAACTCTGCTTTAATTATTTTCTCTTCTAGTCCAGTTATTTATGTTCCAACTAAACAATGACCCATCCCCCCAGTATCTGTGTTTTATTTATCAATCGGCATATAAATACGTGAACTACTTTTTATACATGTGCCATAGTTAACATGTCACCAAACAGTTTATATAATGATCACAATTTCTGAATCAGTTATAGCTGATCACTGACTGACCTCTACCTGAACAGCAATGTTGTCTTCTTGTAGCTTTCAAGGGAACTTAACATATTTTATTTTTATTGAAAGGGCCACTGTTTTCTTACACAGCAGAGCCAAAACTAATGTTCTATTCAAACATGTTCTAATTCAAGATACTGAGTTCAGACTCAATTTTCTAGCTATATGGGAAAATTTCCATTGATGTTGTTATGCATCAGTCTATGAATATCATTTTGAAAGATTTCTTTTAGACAGTTGCTTCAATGCAGTTCTCTAAATAGTCTACACTTCCAAAATCAATTTGTAATACCAATCTTAATAATTTCTTTCTTTCTTTTTTTTGAGTTGGAGTCTCACTCTGTCGCCCAGGCTGGAGTACAGTGGCACACTCACAGCCACCCCGGTGTCTACCTGCTGGGCTCCAGCGATCCTTCTGCCTCAACCTTCCAAGTAGCCAGAACTATAGGCACATGCTACCATGCCTGGCTAATTTTTGATTTATTGTAGAGATGAGGTCTCACCATGTTGTCCAGGCTGGTCTCAAACCCGTGGGCTCAGGCAATCTACTCGCCTCAGCCTCCCAAAGTGCTGGGTTACAGGCTGAGCCATCGAGCCAAAAGTGACTCATGAGCAACCCTCTTTCAGGTCCCCTCCTGCTGTGGGAGCTTTTCTGTCTTCTTAATAGACTCCTGCTTTCTAAAATTAAAAAAAAAAAAAAAAGTGACTCATTTTTCCTTCTGAAAAAGGAGTTTGGGGGGATTGGACAATATGAGCAAGTGCTTCAGTACTGTCATTATCATTCTTTCGTTTAAATATGAAATGGTACCTATCAAACAAGGGATTAACCAGTGTAATCAATTATCCTTCCCACTTTCATTATGTGAACAAATTGTAGTAATGAGTCTGTTTTTCTGGGTATTCTGTGCTATGCCTCTCCCTTCCTCTGCCCTCTTTTCTTGAGCCTGCTCAGCTCTTGGATTTTTTGTTTTGCTAAGCAGCCTAAAAACTATAATGATCTAAAAACTATAATGAAGAGGAAAAACATTGTCAGAAAGGTCAAATTGTCAGCCTCCCTCCACTTGTCTTTCCAAGTACAAAAGCAGTCTAACCTCCCTGCCCCATCCTGGAGTGATCCATGAAGGAGCTGTCTGGAGCTGTCAGTTACACAGAGAAGGTTGGGAAGAGAAGTGAAAGGGAGTGAGTTCAGAGCAGATCCTGATAACTGGATGTGGGAGCTCTGAGATCCACACCTCATTTAATGATATGTTTGAACTAAAATAGCTGATTTCTAAATGAAGGTTTTCTTTAATTTATTGCAAGATGAACATCTTCTCCAAGAAATCTACTAGAGAAATCATTTTATATCTGATCAAAAGTTGGCAAGTATTGGCATGGCATAAAATGAAGAGTATTTTTAAACTGGTGAATAAGTAAAAGTAGATATAAGTGATATGATTTAATAGTATTGGAAGAAAGAGAACTAAAATAACTTTTCTATAACTTGAAATATAGAAAAATAATGAATATATGTCTTCTGTACTGTATGATTTCAAAGAATAGAGCCACCCTTAGTTGCTCCCAGGGATAAGCTATAGAACTATACATTGGTCATTTTTATGCCAAAGTTTGTTTGCCTTCTCACTAAAAGACCAGCCAGTTAATTTGGGAATAATCTTTACTAAATAATATATATACAGGGAGAGTGTGGTGATTCACACCTATAATCCCAGCACTTTGAGAAGGCTGAGACAAGAGAATTGCTTGAGCCCAGGAGTTTGAGGCCAGCCTGGGCAACATAGTGAGACTTTGTCTCTACAAAAACTAAAAATAAAAAAATAAGCCGGGTTTTGTGGCACGACTGCAGTCCCAGATACTCAGGAGGCTGAGATGGAAGGATCGCCTGAGCCCAGAAGGTTGAGACTGCAGTAATGTGAGCTGTAATTGCATGCCACTGAACTCCACTCCGAAAGAAAGAAAGAAAGAAAGAGAGAAAGAGAGAGAGAGAAAGAGAAATATATACATATTATCCTCTACTTAGAAGTGTGTGATCCAACGAAGACCATCCAGGATTGCACCAGAACTGGGTTCCAGGCCCAGCTGATTCACTAGTTTGTGACTTTATCCAAGTCCCTAACTTCAGTGAATCTCAGTGGGATAACATGAAATAATCCATATGGAAGAAAGTTGAAAAGAAATCCACAATATCATCTGTATATGTCCTCTTTGTGCATACTAAGTCCCTAGTTCAGTTCCAAGGTCTTTGTATTGTCTTTCTCTGATCTCAGAAAAGTCTCCTGGATATCATTATTATCCCATTTTATTGTTGTGCAAACTAAGATATTATATAAGGTTGTGCAGTGATGAAGCCAGTATTCAAATTCATGCATTCTAACTTCAAAGGCAACACTTAATTTCTTCCCTCCTGTAGGGGTCATTTGTATGAAATTTCTGTAAGTTGAGAGAGAGAAAGAGAGAGAGAGAGAGAGAATCTTGAGTGAGTACCCCTTTATTTTCATTTGCTTTTAAGGCTTTAGGTTTTAAGTTAATTAAGACTCTTAGGTTTTAAGATAATTAATTGAATAAATGTAGAAATAGTTGTAGCTAATTACCAGATAGAAAAAAATATTAACACAAAAATTAAAGGAGTTTTGAATGAGTCAGAGAAGAAAGTGATGTCAGTGGTAAAAGAATATGCAGAAGACCTTTTGGTATAAATCAGATCATGTCCTTAATTTCCCTTTTCTTTTTTTTTTTAAGGGATGGGAGAAACATGGTGGATACTGTTACAAAATTGACACAGTCCTTCGAAGCTTTGACCATGCATCCAGTGGTTATTACTGTCCACCTGCACTTGTAACCATTACAAACAGGTAAATTAACAGTGTTCTGGGCAACCTCCTCGGGTCCTCTCTCGCTCTGGGAGCCTTTCTGTCATCTCAATAAATCCTACTTTTAAAAAACCCAAAAAACAGTGTTCTAACAGAAACATGAATATGCTTTGACATGAGGGCTCTTGGAATGATAGAAATCTAGATGAAATCATAATTTGTCATAATCTGAAGGATGCCATACTACTGTATTATTTCTAAATTGATTTTTGAGTAACAAATAGTAAAATGTAAGGTGACTTTTACTTTCCATAAAGGTTTATTTATTATCTGACTTTGCTAATATATTCAGTTGTTTTTAGACTTTTTATTGCCTAACTGCTTGTAATGGAAAAGAGAGAAATTAACTAATTTTTAAGTGTAATGTGTCTGAGTCATATGGGGGTTTTCGGCAGAACAGGAACTGTACAAAGTAAAAGATATTCAAATGCTTCACCATTGCTTCTTGGATCTATTTAGTTTAGGTTGAGACTACATTGTGCACACGTGTCTTCCTGATGCTGGTACAGAGACTGCCGTTTTTACACTCCATGTAATTTGCAGCATGCTGTAGATGTGTAATACCTGTACAGGATAAAAGAACCGACAGCAAAGGTGACCTTGTGTCACTGCTAATGTAAGGAGGACAGTGAAGGCTGAGAGGCCTATTCCTCCACACTGAAGACAGAAGCAGAGTAGAGTTCTTCAGTAGTTCCGTGGGAAACTACATCTGCAAAGCAAGTCACTTGCTTTTTTGCCTAGGCCATTGCCTTTTAAAATACTCACTGGTTACCAGGAAATAGGACTAGTGCTGCTATGGTTTTGACTAGAGACCCCTCACATGTAAGTCTAATTTGTAGAGGACTTCATAGATGTTTTCTTGGCTCTTCCCACATTGAAAATCAACATTCAAAGCTGCCAGTATTTCCTTCCTTCTCTTACCCTCTTACTTTCCTGCCTTCTTTCCCAGCTTTCTTTTCAAACAGCATGCAGGAATACATGAACATACACACCATACACAAAGACACACAGAGGAATGAAATGATAGCAGTTGGCAGACTAAATCACCTGGTGAAACATTTTATAAAAGCTCAGAACTCCCTCCCCTCAGGGTATGGCACTACCTTCGATGTATCTCAGTTATGTTTTTGTTTTGTTTTTTGTTTTGTTTTGTTTTGTTTTTTTGAGTTGGAGTCTCACTCTGTTGCCCAGACTGGAGTGCAGTGGCCGTTCCCGGCCACCGCAGCCTCAACCTGCTGGGATCCAGCAATCCTTCCGCCTCAGCCTTCCGA